CCGCCGTCAGCGCGGCGGACTGCTGCGGCGCTCCGACCGCCTTTGCGGCGGCCGAGGTGAGCCAATTCATCGACTTGAGGACCGTGTCCGCCGCCTTGGAGACGGCGTCGTCCGCGGCGTCGGCGTCGGCCGAGGACGCCTCGCCCGGAGGCTTGCCCACGGCCGCGGACGCCTAGAGGACATGCCCCGCGGGACACGTCACGGACATGTCCCGGTTGGGTCGTCCGTGCCCGGCGGCGAGGCCTGCTCGAGCTTGAGCATGTAGGCGCGCAGGCAGCCGAGCGCGGTCTCGCGCACCTGCCGGTGTGCAGCGGGAGCGTGAGGGCAGCGCATCACGCTGCGGCACGCTGCGGCAGCTCTCGACGGCCATGCGCCCTCGAGCGTACAGTGGGGGGGCCGTGGCGGCGGATTCGAGCGGCAAGGCGGCAAGGTGAACGAGTGCAGCGCTGTGGGCTGCGTCGGCGAGGCTCGCGCACCCCTCCTCCTTTGGCCGAGCGCCACCGGCGAATCTCGGCGAATCTCGGCGGGTCTCGGCGTCTCGGCGGGTCTCGGCGGGTCTGGGCGAGTCCGGGGCGAGTCCGCACCTCTCGCTCCGGGTCAAGCACCATCGGCGCGACGGCGGCGAGGACGCGCGTCGCGGCGTCGATGGGCTTGTAGTACTGCTGCGTCGCCGAGAAGGAGAGGAGGCCGGCGTTGCGGCCGGGCGGGAAGGGGTCCTTGAGGGATCGCGTGAAGGCGGGGATGAGGACGCGCTCCCTCTCACTCGCGTCGAGGTGGACGGCGATCTTGCCTGCGACCGAGAGGCGCCGAGAGATGTCGCCGAGGTCGCTCCGAGCTAGTCGCCGCGGGGGAGGGAGGGGGGGGGGGGAGGGGTTGCTCGCCGAGGCAGATGGTCGTGTTGGTTCGGATGGCGGCCTCCTCGTCGAGCTGCAGCTTGGCGAAGGCGCGCATCACCTTGCGGGCACGCGGTGTGTGTGCGCCTCTCGCCCCCTTGCCGGCTAGTGGTGGCGGTAGGCTGTGCGCCTGCCCCATGTTGCCGCGAGAGAGCTTCGGCGCGAGGGCAACCATCGACTTGACCTGCTCCCAGGAGGAGGGGGTGTGAAGAGACTTGGCAACCGTCGACTTGGCGACCATCGGCTTGACCGTGAGCTCGCGCAGCACGGGCGACGTGTCTGCGAAGCCGAGCGAGACGTGGCCTAAGGAGGGGGGGGAGCGAGGCCTCGCCGCGGGGTGGGTAGACGTGTCTGCGACGTGTCTGCGAGGCGAGGCCGAAGACGGTCTCGTTGATGACGCGCGCCGACAGGTGCTCCATCAGCGCGGGCAGGGTCTGCAGCAGCGGGATGCGCATCGAGCGGTCCGTGTTCGCGAAGAGCTTGACAACGGTGGGCACGACCTGGGACGGCGTGAGGAGGGGAGAGAAGGGGTCGTCCGTGGTCGCGACGAGGCGGGGCCACGGCAGGGAGGTGGCCTGTGACTGCATGTCCTCCTCCGACAGGCCGTCCTTGGCGATCCGCAGCAGCGGCTCGAGCGCCTGGCAGCAACAAGTCGTGCCGTCGGTGCGAGGTCCTCGCGGCGAGGCGAGGTGTGCCCTCGGTGTACGGAGTCCTTGGCCGAGGCGCCGCCGTACTCGAGCGCGTTTGTCAGCGCGGGGAGGACCTGCGGGAGAGGA